GCGGTGCCCACAGCCACAAGATGGTGGCACCCAGTCCCCTCAGCCCCACCAGGGCGGCAGGCACACAGCACAGCTGGGCCCACCTCCAGGCGGGTCTGGCTGCTCCACGCGCCTGCCTCTGGAGTCCCCCAGTCCCCTCACCCCCCCAGTCGCCCAGGGCCAGCCCAAGGAGCAGGCAAGCCTCGGATGGCGGCTGCCCAGCTGCTCAGGGCCAGCCAAGGCTCAGGTAACCAGGGCTGGCCAAGGCTTGCACTGCTGGCAGCAGCAGCAGCAGAGGTATGTTAGGGGTGTCACCTCCTGCCCCTGAGGGCTTCTGGACTGTGAGAGGGGGCAGGCCGGGCTGAGGGTCAGCCTCCTCTGGTGCATGAAAATTCATGCACCGGGCCTCTAGTAAGATAATAAAATAAGAAAAATTTACAAATTAAATTTTTAAAACTGTGAAACCAATAACATTTAAATTAGCATTATAATTTATAGGGAGGATTATGCTTTTCTGCTACAACTAAATTTTCCATGTTGAGTGTACTCATAGAAATAGTCTCAGGTCCTGTCCTATATTTAATGTTTCAGAATTTTGACTTTAATCAGTCTGATACAGAAAATGTCTATTTATACAAATACATTGGACAAGAGAGTATTAATGACTTCAAGGTTCTTTTTGCTAGTTGAGGTTATGCATATCTCCTATTCATCTAAAAACTGTGCTCAGGAGTAATCCTCTGGTGCAATTTTAAGTGAAATTCTCCATACTGCCTGTCCACATGTGGCCAAGTAGGTGCCCCTGCTGAGCAATCAGTGGTGTCTCTGAAACCCAGGAAACAGTGGCCAGCCCAGTAACATATCACCTTACATTGCTTCTTAGTCTTCCCTGCCTCACGTCTTCTCTCTCTCACTTTGCGGCTGGGACTGTACCTCCCAATAAAGTATCAGCACTTAATCATTGCCTCAAGCTCTGTTTCTAGGGGACATGGGCTAGGCAAAAACCATTGGTACCATTCAGTCCCCTTAGTTACAGATATCTAACATGCAAACTTTCCCCTGTCCCTCCCCTGGCTTCCCACCTCTTGTGAAATATCCTGAGCAAGGTAACGGTGCCCTCCACCGCCTGCCCTCAGCTTGCGTGTCACTTGCTAACTCACTCCTTAAACCATTCCAGACAGCTTGTAATTCTTTCACCATCCATGTTAGGGCTCAACTGTTTCTTTGTGTTTGAACAAGACAACCGCTCTATCTATGTTTGCTTCACTAATTTTTACTAATTCTCATTTAAATAACCTGCAGTTGTCTTTCCCTGTCAATATCCTGAGACACCTTGAGGGTAGGCACCTAGCACAGCACATGGAACATAGTTGATGCTCTGTACGTATTAAAGTACTTACACACAAGGAGGTGACATTGTAGAGGCTAAAATTTACCCAGGGCAGAGTGGCAGAGTGGAACTGGCATTTAATGCGCTCACTTTACCACTCCTATATTGTCTTCCTAGAAAAATTTCTTTCCAACACTTATTTCACTCACTCATTCATTTACTCACTATTTATTAAGTACTTGAGTTGTCAGGTCTTTGTTAGGTTTCGGGAATCAGTTTTTTGTAAGCCTTCTCGTTTCTCACATCTCCATTTTCAGAACTACCACAGAGTTTGTAGTTTTATCACATATGCCTTATTAGTTTGATATTGAAAAATTACAAAACTTACTATCTGTACTGAACCCAACTTATCAATCAATCAATCAATAGAAGAATTGAAACAAAGTCAAAACTGAAGATCCCAGAGCTACTGTAATCATAAATGGGGAAATTGAGACTCAGAGAGATTAAGTGATAGCAAGAAATCAAACTACATTTCCTGTCTCCCATAGGAAAGCTTAAAGTTCTTTGCATTTAAAAAAACAACAACAACTCTATGCATTTATCTAGCCACATGGAAGGAATATTTATTTGGTGACATATTCCCCTACGAGTTCAGAGAGAGAAATTTCAGTGTTTCTATCACCTTTTTCCTCCCCTGCCATTTTATCTGCCATACCTGAGCTAGTGGCCAATGATATTCCTATCAGATGAAATAGTCTTGTGCAACCTGGATGCTAATTACATGTGTGAGACCACTGGGGTGCAGGTGATACTGTTGTAATTAGCTAGTTATTAATCATAGGAAAGGAGCAAAGGGGGAAGCCAGACATTATAGGCATATCCTTTGGGCTGATTCCCCAGGAAGCTGCAACTTTGCACTCCCCAGGGAACCACTGGCCTATTCCCAGCAAAACACTGTGAGAAGGGATCCAACAAAAGGAAGACACATGCCCAGTAAAGTTGGAGCGACACAGGGAAGCTACTTGCCTGTCAGTCACACGTGGGAACAAAGATCATTGGCCAGAATGGGCATGGCCACTACAAGCACATGAAAAGTTGGGAATACATAATCTCCTGAACAAAGAAATTCTCTTTCTTGTTGCTCTCTTGTTGCTCTTGCAGCTCATGACTCTTGTGTTCTTG